CGCTACGTTCTCCCCTGACGGCCACTTTTGGAACTACGAACCATAGCCGTCTTTTAGCTCGCTCCCTACCCTCCAAGCGCCATCTAGCGGCAGTGATTGAAAACACCCAAATAATACAAATTTCACCTGCCGGGCGGGACATTTCTTAACTGTTGTTTTTATTGTTTCAGTGGTGGCTTTCGAATGAGAGGTAAATCCAAACAGTTATTAATTTTATTACAGTTTCAAAACCAAAATACATCACGCAGAACTAAAACCATATTGATAACGAACAAAACACACAAAAATAGTCAAAAGTCAAATAAAATTGAAAACAATTTGTCATGTGTCAAACAAATCAATGAACTAAACAAATAATAATGAAACAATAATACAATGAACACGACACACCACACTACTCCAAGCCGACGCTTTCCTTCAATCTTGTTTTAAATTCCTCCTGCTTCAGCCCGCTTGCCTTCAATTTTCACATTTTTGAGTACTTTTTAAGGTCTGACACTCTGGATATTAGATTAAAAATTGTTACTTGGAAAGAAACTGAAATTTCTGTGGAATAATTTCCACTTGAGCATAATTGTCCTTAGGAATAGAATAATTAATTGCTGACTGGAAAAGCTGCCTAATCTTGTCGTCATCAGCACTGCCTGGTCTGGTGCCTCCCAAGAACTGTAGGCGGGGAGTCAGAGGTATACCTGACGATAAAGGGTAAAGTTCAAGACTGATAATGGTATTTCAAAATCAAATTGATTAAAAATTTGCTTACCGGTGTTATTGCTACAGCAGAAGTAGCTAGGAGTATAGCTGGAGTAACAAGGACTAACGGGTTGTCTGCGTGCGCAAAGGTGTTATTTGCAAGGGTGCATTGATTGTCCTGGGGAGTCCTGTGCTTGTACCACCTCAAAAACAGAATTAGAAACAGGAGAAAAGAAAATTATCCATAAATTGGAGCAAAATTACTCCAAAAATTGACTACTTCCAAATTCAAACAAATACAGTATTATATTTATATCAAACACAAATCAACAATCTAATAGGGTTTGTAGCGGAATAGACTGGAATGCCAATAGAACTTATCTTATGAGAGCCATATGTGAGCAGATGAAGAAGACTTGGTATAGGCCCTCCTCTTGACGAGTAAGTATGATTAGGCAAGCACACTGTATAAACCCATCTGCAAACAAAGGGTAAAATGACAGTAAAATGAACCATAAGACTTCTACAATGTTCAACATCCAATTGGGGACTCAGAAGTCCTTAAAGGTGTAAACTGCAGAGTCCTTCCAGCCCACTGTGAGAAATACCTGTAAGGGTTACAGGAAAATTTTCCATGATGTGTGTTGTAACATATTACAATTTCAAATTCTTAATTTAAGTCCCACATATCGACTTGGAATTCTTAATGGACAAGCAAGAATGGGCAGTTATAAATTTACAATGTTTTGTAAATCATAAATACAAAATATGTTGTAAATTTATGTACAAAGATATTTTTCACAGTGCTCCATGAAAGGCACATGACAAGAAGAAGAGACAATATGAAGCAGTTGGATTTTTGTGAGTAACAATATTTCATTAAATAATAACACACAATGTCTATCCTTTAAGCAAAGTTTTGAGACAATGTCCTTCAAAATTGAAAGACAGGGAGCAATTACACCTGGCTTAACACAAATCCTGGGGGGCAAAACTTTCAAACAACTTTCACTGGGCAGTGTTATGTATCTCCGAGGAAAGTTATAGGCTTTAGGGCTTCTTTTGTAAAATGACAACCAAAATATTTTATCGTCTAGGGTCCAGCTCCTCTCATAGGGGTTTTTCTTTAAATTTTGGAGTTCACCTTTAACAATTAATCTGGTAGTTGCAGGTATGCTCAGATCTTCAACCAAATTTAATGTTTTAGAGTTGAATAATTTTCTGTTCCTGGTAGATTTTTTCCCAGCTTTACTCAGGATTCTTTCTAACTTCTTTGTCATCTGTCTATACTCTAATGCTGTTTTTGCAACTTTGTCAACATCTTTGGTCATTTGCATAAACACCTGACAATCTTGCAATCTCAGTCTTACTCATCCAACTCCTGGTCTCTTGCTCCAACAGACCGCATTGGATATGAAAATACAAAATATATTCTAAAGCATGATGAAAATGATTTAAATAATATTTACCGTACCACAGAGACTGAGTGCACCAACGTCGAGGAGTGGATGGTTTAGGTAGACTGCACCACAGCAGTTCGAGGTCAGGCTGAAGACAACATCTCGTCATCATCATCTGGATGACTTCACTTCTCTGTTTAAAAGAAAAATTCTGTAATTAAATCTTGAATTGACCATCTCACATTAATTAGTCACTCAAAACAATTAAATGAGCAAACCTCCTTTATCAGGTTACAAGGAGAACGCCCAAGTCAAAATTACGTTTAAATGATAGCAATGATAGCATTTTGAACTTAAAAGTCAAAATCTAGTCCTCCCAGGTATGGACTTAACATCAAAGTGACCTGCAAAGACCCCTCTGACCCTGTTCTGATTTTGTGTTCTCAGGGGCAGCATGCACCGCAGGAACAACAGCTTAATTTGTTGATCTGAGTCCAATGAAAGATTTCAATAAGAACAAACATTTCTTAAAATCAAGACAAAAACCTAAAGTAACTCACCTGTCTGAGAAAGGAGTTGGGCCAATCTCTCAGATGTGTCAAAGGTATACACATACACGAAAATGGTAGACTGCTCGTGTCATAAGATTGTTACCTATTGTCTCCAAAACATTTTACCTCAAAATGACGAGGGCAAATGAATCTGTTTGTAGAGTTAAAAGTAACTGTATTCTTTTGGTTTCGTCAGAAACACCCCTTTCCACAGAAACTTGAGTTTTTAGTGGTGGTCTTTCGAACTATGGGCGGGTTGTCTACCTAAGGCGCACAAGCTAAAGTAACAGGAAAAGAACTCTGCCCTAGTGGGTTGGCTCCATGATATTTACTAAGAGCAAGTGAAAGGGGAGTCTGCCCGATCAATCCAAACCAATTCCAGCCTGGATTTTGACGGGGGATGATTAAAATCGTCAGGGAAGAACCAAGGCACCACAAAAACCATTATAAACTGAACTTTGATGCACACCAAAACCAAAGGGAGCTTCTTATAGAGTCCGAACAGAGACAAATTGGACCAGCGCATTGGTTATTGTCAACTCACCTATACTTTCAGGTAAAATGACTCCATAGACTTCTTTGCTCATGTCAAGAACATTCCCGGGCCGTGTTCCTGCAATCATATTAAATGGTACTTTTAGTGCTATGTTTGCTTTCATTTATTACTTAACAATTGTCAACTTAAGTACGTATGATTTTACTCATACTATGGTTACTCGTTTCACCACGGTATTTCTTTCTGAGGGAATAAAAGACTTCCGTAGAAAGAAATGCCATGGTGAATTCGATAAATTAATCCATGTTGGGAGTGGACTATTCAACCACCTCCCTCAGGAAATCGAGAATATGAAAAATGAAAAAAGATAGTAAGCTGTGCTAAAGAGGTGTTTTCTAGCAATGAAGCCCTACTCAATAAAAGAGCCTTTTAACAATGGTTTTACCAAATTCAAATAGTACAGTCTATCATGTAAATCGACTTGTAAAGCTCTGTCAAAGCTACATGACAAATAAAAATAAATAAATAATAAATGAGCTGCAACACACATTGATTGTTTGATTGTTTAGGGGATTACGCAAATAGCGCTAAAGGCCGCAGTTGACTATCAAAGCCTACACCCTAACCTGACTTAATACATTTGGCTGTTTCACAAAGAAGAATACAGAGTAAAATAATATGATATAAAATACCCAGGTAGCAAAACCAGCAAAATTGCATTGTACGTCCAATCTAAAAAGGGGAAGTTGTTCAACACCGTTTCAACAAAGCTTACAGTGAGCCAAGTTTCGATAACAGGCATCATCTACTGTGTCTCCAAAAATATATTACAACTAATAAAAAGTGTATAAATAAAGCCACTGGAGCACAACTAACCTCCTACAAT